GGCCAGAAAGGAGGTGGCATCTGCTGTGGAGGGGGGTGTGCCAGAAGGCCAGGTTACCCCACAGGCAGTGGGGACTGTGGCCGAAGCCACTCTGTCTGCAGCCTGGGGTAGGACAATGTGGGTGGGGACACCAGTTAGGAGGCCCCTGAGCGGACTCTGGCACGCAGTGAGGGGCTGAGTCCACGTTCCTGTCTTCACACCAGATAAGCAGGCAGAGTCTGCAGTGCTCTAGGCACCATGCCAGGCACTGGACAAGGCAGGCAGGGTCCTCCGCCGGGAGCTCTCTGTCTTGTCCAATCAGATCACAGCGACCTGAGTGAAATGGGTGGATGGCTTCTGGGGTGCACACTTTTTCCTGCCTGCAGCCCCCACCAGCGGAGGTGGTAACAACCACCAGAACCCTCAGCTGCAGCCTTCCACGCATATCTGCAGCCACCAGAATCCTCACTCTAGGAGTGAGTAGTCTCACCCAGCTAACCTAGTGGCTGGAGTCGGAATTCTTCAGGAAACATACTAGACGAGAACATTGGAGTCAGTAACTGAAAAACAAGCTTGTCTTATCCAGGAAACACAGAACCTGTCACATTTGGAGCTCATGTTATCTAAGCTAAGCAGTATTTTCACCGTACCTGACAGCTAAGATAAGTCCCTCAACCCCAGAACAGTCCCTGGGCCCCGGGGGCAGGCGGGCAGCATGTGCACAGCTGCAGGGCCTTGGGAAGAGCAGCTTAGACATAGCCTATCACGTGAAAACTTCACTCCTTAACTTGAACTCGACGCCTAGTCAAAATCTCAGTGTATAAAATGAATTCTGTCTGGAGAGGCGCTGAATTAATGGGAAAGAGTAATGGTTTATCCTGTAATACTGGTAGCTTGGAATAAATAAAATGTGGTCTTTTCTTGTTCATAATTAGTAATGAGCGTTTGTCTTTTGAGAACATGAGATAGCAGCTTGGTTCCCTCCCCTGTCCCCCCATGAGGTTTTGTGTAAGGAAAACTTACAGCCCACAGTGGCCCCTTTGATTTGTAAATATCAAAGCAAGTTGGTGGCTGTAATTAAATCACTGGGCACTTCCAGAAACGGGTGTGGCCCCCTCGGCCCTTCACCCACCCTGTAACTCATCTTTAAAGGGCACTTAATAATAAACAGGAGCCAGTACGTGTGCGCACACTTCTCTCTGCCTCTCTGCCTCTGCCTCTGTCTCAGTCTGTCTCTGCCCCTCTCCCTCTCTCTCTCTCTCGCTCTCGCTCTCGCTCTCGCTCTCTCTCTCGCTCTCGCTCTCGCTCTCGCTCTCGCTCTCGCTCTCGCTCTCGCTCTCGCTTTCTGTCTTTGGAAGCACACCAACACCAAACATAACTTTTTAGTATTTCCAAATGATTTTTAAATCTTAAATTCCTTACTCTATTTTCTAAATCGCATCCTTTGTTCTTATTATTATTTTTATGAATTTTTGAGTATGAATAAGCCAAAATTTAGGCTGCCAACTTCTTTTTGTTAATTGGGATTTTTATTGAGATAATTACAGATCCACATGTGTTTGTAAGAAGTCATGGAGCCGCCCACACGCTTTGCCCAGTCTCCCCAACAAGGACACCCTGCAGAGCCGTCGCACACTCAACAACCAAGACTTGTCAACTTGCTCTGTTAAAAGAACGTGATAGGGGGCTGGCCGAGTGGCTCAGTTGGCTAAGAGCTCGCTCAAGAGTTTGAGCTCTGAGCAACAGCGGTTCGATGCCCGGCCTGAGCTGAGCTGCCAACAGGTGGCAGGATGGCTCAGCTAAAAAAAAAAAAAAAAGAAAGAAAAGAACGTGGTAAAATACACATAACGTAAACTACCACTAGTGACATTCAGTATTGTGCAGCCGCAGTAGCGTGCCACCTTTGTCACTGTCTACTCGCAGAACATCTCCCCCACCCTAGAAGGAAGTCCTGCCCGGTACCAGTCACTCTCCATGCGCCCCCTTCTCCCCACCTCCCCAGCCCCTGGCACCACTAATCTGGTCTCTGTCTGTGTGGATTCCCCTTTCCTGGATGTGTCATATGGATGGAATCATAGGATATGTGGCCTTTCGGGATTGGCTTCTGTCACTCAGTTTCATGTTTTCAAGGCTCATCCGTGTTGGGACAGTATCAGTCCTTGGTTCCGTTTTATGGCTGAATGGTATTCCCCTGCAGTGGGCCTCTGGGCCTCGTTTTATTGCGCTTTGCAGATACTGTTTTCATCCACATCGAGGCATACCCTTCCCCAGCAAAAAGATTACAACTCGCTGAAGGCTCAGATAGGTGATGGTTAGCAAATTTTAGCAATAAAATATTTTTAATTAAGGCGTGTACGTTGTTTTAGACGTAATGCTATAGTACACTTAATAGATTACAGACAGTATAGTGTAAACACAACTTTATATGCCTGAGAAACCAAACAAGTCATGTGATTCACTTTGTAGGGTACGCGCTTTATTGCCCATTCTGGAACCCACGTGCCGCGATTTGTCATCCATTCACTGCTTGATGGGCGTTTGGGTTGTTTCCACCTTTTGGCTATTGTGAGGAGTGTTGCAGCTATGAACATTTGTGTAGTTTTTGTTTCAACCTCTGTTCCCATTCTTTGGGTACATTTCTAGGCGTGGGATTTCTGGGTCACCTGGTAACTATGTTTAACCTTTTGGAGAACCCCTAAACTATTGCCTACACCATTTTATTATACATTCTCACCAGCAGGTCCCGAGGGTTCCTATTTCTTCACAGCCTCGCCAATAACTTGTTATTTTCCATTTGCTTTTTACTAGTCACCCTGGTGGGTGTGAGGTGGTGTCTCGCTGTGGGTTTGACTTGCATTTCCCTGATGACTAAGGATGCTGTGCGCCTTTTCATGTGCACATGGTCTGTTCCAGTCCTTTGCCCTTTTAGAAATTCTGTTGTTTGTGTTTTTGTTGTTGGATTTTAAGAGTTTTTTATTTATTTTGTATACTAGACCCTTATTAGGTAGATTTGGAAATACTTTCTCTTGTTCTGTGGGCTGTGTCTGCACTTTCTTTATGGTGTCCTTTGATGTACAAAAGTTTTTGGGGTTTTTTTGTTTTTGGTTTTTTTTAGCTGAGCCATCCTGCCACCTGTTGGCAGCTCAGCGGCTGCTCAGCTCAGGCCGGGACTTGAACCGCTGTTGCTCAGAGCTCAAACTCTTGAGCGAGCTCTTAACCAACTGAGCCACTCAGCCGGCTCCAAAAGTTTTTAATTTTGATGAAGTCCAATTTATCTATTTCTTTTTCTTGCTTGTGCCTTTGGTGTCACCTAAGAAACCATTGCCAGATTTAGCTCTTAGGTGCATTTTTTATCCATTTCAAGTTAATTTTGTATATGGTGTGAAGTAAGGGTCTAACCCCATTTTTTGCACATGGAGGTCCAGTAGTTCCATCACCATTTGTTGAAAAGACTGTTCTTTTTTCATTGAATCATCTTGGCAACCTTGTCAAAAATCACTTGACTGTATGCGTTTATTTCTTGACTCTCAGTTCTATTCCGTTGATTTATATGTCTACCCTTATGCCAGTACCACACTGTTTGATTATTGTAGCTTCATAATAGTTTTGAAATCAAGACGTATGAGTGTTCCAAATGTGTTTCCTCACGATTGTTTACATTGTTCGGGATCCCTTGCAATTCTCTAGGAATTTTAGGATCAGCTTTTCCATTTCTATAAAAACACCAGCGGGATTTTGATAGTGCACTGAGGCCTGTCGGCTGCATAGGGTAGCATGCCTCGTCTACAGATGTGTACAGCATTATTTTTCTCAGACCACCTGAATCAGAGCCACCTGGGGCACTTGTCTAAAAGGTTGTTTCTGGGCCCCAGCCCTAAAGTCTGATGCGGAGGGCTGGCCCCAAGCCCAGGAATGGCTGTTTTAACAAGCCCCCCATGAGTCCCAGGGGCTCTAAAGTTTGAGAAGCACTGGAGCTGGCCCTCCTCACCTTCCCCCTGGAGGGACTTGGGTTCAGCAAGAGCAGGTTTCCTTGCCTGCAGGTGGGCCTTGCGGTATAGAGCGGCCTTCACGGACTGTTTCCTGTTCACCACCACCCCCATTGGGCCCGCTTGGCCACTGGAGGAAGGCCACTGGGACTTGTTCTGGTTGACATTTGTGAAGCCTTATTTCTTGAGCCATGTTCTTGGGGTGGGTGACGTTTGTGAACCCCTTTGCTGCCTTGACACCCTAGGTCTTTGCCATACAGCCTCCACTTTAACCCTTGTCCTCCCAGAGGCCGGGGCGGTGGACCCGTCAGACGTCCCCTGAGTCCTCAGTCCTACTGGGAAGCCTTTTGCATGTTGCTCGTTGTTTCCTACCACCTGCCCGAGGGTACGTGTCCCAGCGTCTCTCTGAACACCGTCCGTCTCAGAGCCCTGGGTCCCAGCACCCAGCAGGCCTTACTGCAGTTTCCCGAGGAGTCAGACCTTACGGTGCTGCCCTGCCCTTCACACTGCAGCCTCCTGGCCTCGTGTCAGACCTTCATGCCGCCAAGCTCCGTACTTGCACGTGCTGTCCTCTCCTGGTCAGGCCTGCTCATCCTCCGGTCTCAGTGTAGCCATGGGTTCCCAGCGCAGCTTCCCTGACCTCCCGGCCTGACCCCTTTGTGTGCTGTCAGAACGCCTGGCAGTTCAGCTCTGTAGCCGCTGCCTGCTGCAGTCTTATGTTTCTTTGTGACATGTCTTACACCAGCCTTTAAATTCCAGGAGCCCAGAAAATTGATCCCTAGCCCCTGGCACAGTGCCTGGCACGTGGCAGATGCTCATTTAACTACCTGTGGGGTGGGTAGGTGGGCTGGCGATGGGCAGATGAATGGGTAGGTGTCCCAGTGGCAGGCTGGCAAGCACCAATCAGTGCAAGTTTCTGGAACTTTCCACCCCATGTCACTGACCTCAGTTCTCCACACCTCTCAACTTTGCTCTGTCCAAAAATAACGCACCCCACCACCGCCTCCCCTGAGGAAAGTCCCTTTCTGCTTCCAGCCCGCCGGGGTCACCCTGGTCAGTGTCCATTCCAGCCCCAACGACCAGATGCTGTGGGCGCTGGACAGCAGGTGGAATGTGCACGTCCGACTTGGAATCACCGAGGAGATGCCAGTGGGGACCGCCTGGGAGCATGTGCCAGGTAGAGACGGGCAAGCACGTGGCGGCTGTCCCCTCCCAGGCAGGCCAGGCTCTGTGATGACAGGGCCTTGTGTGCCAAGCCAAGCAGCCTGTCCCCCACACAGCAGCCTCGGCTTTCACACTCAGATTTCTGCTGCTCTGCTGGGACAGGTGACAAGCACGTGTCTGACCAAGTGTCCCTGGCCTGAGGGACCCAGCATTTAGAATGCAGCCAGCCCGAGGCCTAGCGTTCTCCGGGGCACCCTTTCCCTCAGCTCCCACTCCAAGCCCAGCCCAGTGCAGGACACTGCCACCACCACAGAAACCCTCTGGTGACAGGGTGCAGTGTCAGGAGAGAGTGGGCTCTCAGGAAGGGTGGTCCATCCCGCCTGCTGCCGGGCTCTGAGGACAGATGGATGCCCCGTTTGCCTGCAGGGTTGCAGGCCTGCCAGCTGGCGCTGAGCCCCAGGGCCGTGTGGGCCCGCTGCCCCAACGGCGACCTCGCCCGAAGGTACGGCGTCACCGACAAAAACCCTGCCGGAGACTACTGGAAGAAAACTCCCGGGACCGTGACATGTCTCACAGGCAGGTGCTGGGCTCTGCGGGCTCCTTGAGGTTCTTGTGGCTCCTAGGGACCAGGTCCATGGGCTCACTCTCCCAAACGGGAGCCCATCCCAGGGTCACACCTGAGGGAGGGAACCTGGCACCCAGGGTCTTCCAGGAAGGGAAGCTTTAAAGCTTTAAAGCCTGCTTTAAAGCTGAGGAAACTGAGGCATAGATCGGGGGTGGTGTGTTTGGGGCCCCACAGCTAGAAAGTGCCACGTCTGGATGTGGACCCAGGCCCTTGACTCCATCTGCCCTGTCCCCAGGCTGGGTGATTAATGAGTGTGTGGCTGGCTCTTGTCCCTGCAGTGACCTCGTCAGATGAGCTGTGGGCAGTGGGCCCCCCCGGCTACCTCCTCCAGCGGCTGACAAGGACTTTCAGCCACTCGCACGGTGCCCAGAGCAGCCACGCCAGCACTGCCCACCCTGAGGACCTGGAGGCTGAGTGGGAGGTCATCTGAAGGGGCTCTCGGGCAGGGTCGCTCGAGGGAGGAAGCCGAAACTTGTGTGGTGGACAGTCGGTTTCTGAGCCGCTCCCTCCTGGACACGCCTCATCAACTCTTGTCCAGACACGCCTGGCCGTGTTGGACCCCCCACATTGCTTTCATCCATGTTTGCCTCCATCTCGTTCCAGAACCCCCATCTTCAGCCAGGTGATCGGAGCTGTTGCGGGAGCTCTGGGGCCTCTGAACCCTCTGGGTGGGGAGAGTGGCTGCTGCCCGTCACCCATGTGATGCAGTCACCTTCTCATCACTGGCCACCCCAGGTCCCATTGTGGGGACGACATGGGGAGCCTCCCATGGGCAGGACGAGTCCAAGCCAGGTCTGGGGACCCCCCTGTGAGCCACTGCAGGCAGCCACATAGTAGCTAAAGGTCAGTGCTCCCCACCCACTGTTCCCGTGGAGGCTTTGTCTCCATCCCAGGGTCCCCACACACACACAGGGATGCGGGTTCCAGCACACATTCCTTCTAGACACCCCAGATGGGAAACCAAGGCCGTGTCTGAGAGGCGCTGGGCTGTGCCGCGACAGAGGAGTCATACACACCATGCCCAAGCTGGGCACACTCACCCGGAGGACACCCTCCAGCTGAAACAGCAAAGGCAGGAAGTGCACTCCTGTCTCCCGGGTGGGGACGACACAGGAAGGTCACCAGTGGGGACATAGCCGAGCCAGCAAACTCAGAAGTGTCTTTAGAGTGCCGTTGAACGCGTGCTGCTGTGGACGTGGTAAAAGCCAGACGCATCCTGAGAGGATGACGTACTGATTGTTGCCTTTTTTGTTTGTTGTATTACAAACCTGCATAAAATACCTCATTTGAAATCAAATCTTACAAATTTAGAAGAGAAATTTATTTTCTGAAACCAGTGGAAGGGCTTTCATTCCTTCTCATGGTTTATCCTGAGCCTGCAGCTTCAGAGAGGGTGGGTGGCAGTCCTGCGTGTCCCCTGCATGTGGGGCAGTCATGGGACCTGCCCTTGGCTTTGAGTGGCAGCCTGGCACTGTCCGCAGCATTTGGGCTGATCTCCCCAGACGGTTAAAGCTGGTGCTTGGTGTGGCCACATCAGGCGGCAGTCCCTGAGGCCAGCCTGCGGTGCCCAGTCTTTTCGTGGGCACCTGACCCACAGGATCGACGACAGCCTGGCGTGTGTCTGCCTCGAGCCCACCGCCCCCCTGCTGGATGCAGCGCCCCATCATGGCTCTGGCCTAGCTGCTGTTTTTAGCCTGCCTTTGGCCTGGGGCCCAGTTACTTGAGTGAGGCCTGTTCTACCGAGCGAGTGTGTCCAGGAGCCCCCAGGCCCCAGCTGAAGAGCGATCAAGTGTGTCCTGTGACAGGCCCCAGCCAGCCGTGAAGATGGAGGTCTTTCAGGTCAAAATGAGGACAAGATACTGAAACCCCAGCTCTTACCTCACACTGCACTTTTATGGAATCCATTTGTTTAAGTTTGGTGACAGCAGAGGCCGCCCTGGGCTGCCTGCGGCTCCTCGTCAGCGTCTGTTGTGCCTTCCCGGCTCCCTTAGGCGGCAGAGCCTTCCCAAACCCACGGGACTTTAGTGCAATGAAACCCAAGTCCAGCTTGATACTGTTAAACGACTTGTAGCCTCAGTGCTTTGTGCGGCTTTCTTCTGGTCTGAGAGTGCAATAAACTAGACTTTTTCCTAACCTGGTCAAGTCTGATGTTGGAGCTGTGCGGAGGTGTCCCCCGCAGGCCTACGTGAAGGCTGGTGTTCCCTCCGTGCTGGGAAGAATCTGCCCGAGGCTTGCCAACCCAGCCGCTCAGCCAGGACAGCGTAGGCGGACCTGATTCCGTGACCTGGTTTGTGTTTACATGCACGCCGGCCTGCCCGGGGTGGCTGTCCTGGGAGAATGGTCACTCTAGAGATGGCCACCCCGGCACTCCCTGAAGAGGACACCTTATCATGAGGTGGCGTGCAGGGCTGTCTCCTCATGGCGGCCCACCAAGGCCAGGCCACTAAGGGCAGGTTTTGGAGGGGTTCAAGGCCCTGGAGCTATCTCCATCCAAGAAACAAAACCAAATATCAGAAGTGCCCTACTGGAAAACAACGTACGGAGAAAGGTCACATCCATAACAGCAGCAGAACACATGTCCCAGGAAACAACTGAGCAAGACATATCACGCTCGTGTCAAGAAATGGCCAAGCTTTCCAGAAGACATCAAAGAAAACTGGAGTCAAGGAAGGATGTCCACCATTCCTGATGGAAGGCAGGGTAAAACAACAGTTAAAGACATCAGTCCTCTCCAAAGGACTTTATGGGTTTAATGCAATTTGTCAGAATCCCCACTGGGATTTTCATGTTGGGGGAAGGCAGGGAGGAATTCACAAAATAAGGATTGTCCCACAGACGACGCCTTAACTATGCCGGACGTGTCCCTAGGGTCACACATAGCCACACGTCCTCACTAGGGCCCTGAGGTAATACCATTTGCCCCAGCGTAACACAGAGAGGCTAAGGAGCTTGTCACGGTGACACGGGGAGCGCGGGTATTGGCACCCAGCCCCGGAACTCCAGACCTGTGCTGTTGGATGCCCCTCCCTGTCCTGGAAAGAAGAAACAGCTGAGAATTGCCAAGAGTGATGACAGGCCAGCAAATGAAGTGTGGCGTGGGTGGAAGGGCCAGTGACGTCAGACAGTCCAGCCAGGCCCACAGGGAGCTGGCATGACGCAGGCGGCGTCACGGATGAGGGGAGAGAGCATGACTTCACACCCGCTATGCCCCACTGCTCAGTTATTTGGACAAAATAAATATGAAATAGATTAAAGAATCTTAAAACTAGGGGGGAAGCGGTATCTGATTTCTGGACGGCAAAGGCTTCCTAAACTCAGAAGTCACGGGAAAGGCCACAAAGGAAAATAGATTGGGTTGCTTCAGAGTGTAAAATACTGTGAATTAAAAACCCCACATAAAATTAAAAGGGAAATAATTGCAAACAAAGGTGATGTGATGTTGGATATACACCCTAAACATCTGTACACACCAGTGGAGGGGACACCTATGACAAAGGAGATGGAAGGGCAGCACTTACCTGACGCCCTGGCTCCCCAGCGCAGGGGTGCAAACGGGGCAGGTTGGGGGCCCCGGGAGCCCAGCAGCGGCCTTAAAACCTTCATACCCATGAGCTCCACTCCTGGACACCTATCCTCAAGAACAAATCCTGAATCGGGGGGGGGGGACATACAGCGTGGCCTTGCTTAGAACTGTGAAACACTAATAAAACTGACGTTCGGGCCATCCCTCCAGGGACAGCAAGCCACTGTTAAAAGGTGTGCTTCCAGCGACAAGGGCGCTGGGCAGTCTCACCTTATTTTCTTGTGTGAACGGTGAATTTCTGGGGTGTAGTAATGACATTGTGGTTTTGGAGGAGATCATACAAACAGGGAAAGAGAAAGAGAAGAGACAGGAAGATAACGCAGATGTGTTGGTTATACTCTTACTTTTGGTGGGTTTGAAATTTTTCGTAATTCCAGGGGACACAGGAGGTGCAGAAGGAAAAGTTCTGCGGCTGGTCGCGGTGGTTGTCTGGAGTATGTACCTTTTTGTATCTTTTGAACTTTGAGCCATGTAAATGTATTATTTATTCCAAAAATAAATAAAATTCACGTTTAAAAAACTTAGTCCTCTCTAACATTAACTCTTTATGGTATCAACACTCAGTCAAATGTCATATAATAATCACCAAAGACCCTAAAAATCAAGTTCACACAGTGTTTTACAATATCGGGAAATGCTCATACTATAGTAAGTTTAAAAATACTAAATTGTGTAAGTGATCTGATGTTATGTATGTAATCTATATATGCACATAGAAAAAACTGGAAGAAACCACCAAATGCTAGCAGCGTTTGGGTGGCGGGATGACTGCGGGCAGCTGGCCTCTTTATTTGGGATCCACACAGTGGGGGACAAGTAGGACAGTCCATATTTCCAGGGCTGGGGCCCTGCCGCTGGGGCCCTGCCACTGCGCCTGGACCTCTCAGTCCAAGGGTTCTACCATGAGCATGAATTCTATAAGCAGAAATTCTTTTTAAAAATCACAGAAGGTAAGGGCCGGCTGAGTGGCTCAGTTGGTTAAGAGCTCGCTCAAGAGTGTGAGCTCTGAGCAACAGCAGTTCGAGTCCTGGCCCGAGCTGAGCAGCCGTTGAGCTGCCAACAGGTGGCAGGATGGCTCAGCTAAAAAAAAAAAAAATCACAGAAGGTAGAAATCTCTATCTTCACTTCTGCTTTGACTGGGGCGGTGGTTACACGTATGTAGACATTTGTCCCAAGTCCTCAAACTACACACTCAACGTCTGCACTTAGTACATGTCAGTTACGCCTCCATTTTAAAATGTAGCCAAAACCAGTCACTGTGGGGGCCGGGCTCCATCACCGGTCACCCACTTGTGAAACGGGCCCCAACACTGCACAGCCTTCCCCTGGCTACGCTGCATTTCCTCTTCCCGAATTCCAGGAAGCATCCTTGTTCTGAAGAGGGCATGGAGTTAACAGGAAATGCTCTCAATACAGTATTCTAAGTTGGTGAAGAAATCAGGAGGAAGGGAAATCAGAGTAGGAAAATTCAGGTAATATCAGGATGAGGTTAGCCTGCAAAGAAGGCATGAGGTCCGGCACAGGGTCACGCCACCAGGGCCACAGAAGGGGCAGGCGGGGGCCTTGCACCCCTGCCTTCCTGGCCACCTCCCCCAGAGCCCCCTGGCAGCACACGTTGTCCTATGGTGCTCCTTCTGAGCTCTGGGCATGAGGTCACAATACCAACAGGCCTCTGGGGTGCAGATGCTGGCCCCCGAGCCCGAGTGTTTGGGGTCCCCTGAGCTCCGGGAGGGTGCCCATTACTGGGCACAGTCAGGTTTTCCTTAGAAAGGTTGGAACAAATGAACCAACGTACTTTGCCAGAGAAAAGCGGGCCTTGTTGTGGGCAGAGCGGTTGCCTTAGAAGCGGTCAAGCCTGCCTGCCAGTGGCCACGAGCTGGCTCACTGTCTGTTAAGGGCCCCTGGGCTGGGCCTGGCCGGCTCCAGCCCGCCCTCGTCCCCCGGGCTCACGAGGGAGGTAACAGGACTGGCGGCCGCCCTGTGCTTGCTGCCTTTTCTGGGGCTTCAAGGCCCAGGAGACTGATAAGCCCAATGCTGGGGCCTGGCCTGCCCGCCCACACTCCCACCCTCCTTCCCTCTCAGGCCAGCAGCGGCCACCAGATAACCCTTATCCACTCTGCACTGATCTCTAGGTCCTCTGCTGTCCCTGCTGCCTCGGGCTTCCTGAGCCAGACATCAGTCCCCAGGGAGACTCCGTGGGAGCTGTGCCCGTAATCGGGCCCTGCTCGGCTGCCACAGGGCTGTGTGACGCTGGCCTGGCCTTGGCTTCCCCAGCCTTGCCTGCAGCTCCAAGCAGTGTGAGTGCCCGTACCCTCTCCCACCCACGGTGAGGACAGAAGGGGCTAGTGCTCTGGCTGTCCTCCTGCCATCCCACTCCAAGGGGTCCTCAGATGGGCCCCCCATCACCCTCCAAATGATAGTGCAGTTCCCTAGTCACCCCAAACTAAATCACCTCACTTGGGCCCCAGACCCTCCCATGACGCCCCGACTGTGGCGTCCATAATTTTTCCTGTTAGAATCCCACCCTGCACTCCAAGGCCAGCCCAGGTGCCCCCTCCGGCTTGCCTGACAATGAGTGTGGCAACCCCTTTCCAGGGCATCAGGGAGCCCTGAGACAAGGCAGCTCTCCCACCCCTGCATCACCCCATCCCCAGCCCAGGGGGCTCAAAGAGGCGGTCACTAAAGAGGCAGCTGTAGGCCTAGAGGGGCAGTGAAAGAGGGCCTAGCCCTAGGCCTTGGGCTAACTCCACAGAGGACAGAGCTGGGGCTGGGGAAACATGAGAGGAAGTCCGCAGGCCCAGGTCCCCAACCAGGTGCCAGGGCAGCAGGGCACCAAGGGTTCTCCAGTGCCTGCCCAGGCCCAACCCCCAGGAGCCACCATGACCTGCTGCTCTGGGCACTCTAGCCTCCAGTGTTCATGTCCTCCAAAGGAAATATACCCTCCCCCCACAATGGAACCGCTAGTGTGAGGACCTGGAGTTTTGAGTTGGGAGAGACATAGCCACTGCCCCCAAGCGTCAAGGTCCAGCTGGCCCAGGACAGCAGGAGGGGAGGGGCCCTCACTCCCACTTGGAATCTAGGATCAGTCCTCAGGCTGGGCGCCCCTCTGTCCTCCCTCCTTCCCACTGGGGCTTGTGCACCCACCCACACACTTCCCAGGAACGGGGGTTTGTCCCAGGTCACCCTGAGAGTGGGTAGCAGGCAAAGACCAGAGCCAGGCCCCTTCTGCACCCTCCCTTCAATGGCCCACCACCCTAGATTCTGCTCCCACCACCCAAAGCCTCTTGGTCCCCCAGGCATGCTTCCCTCAGGGACGATGGGGGAAGGGTGGGGCAGCAAGTGCCCCCAGCCAGGCTGGTCATTCTTCCAGGAAGACCTTTAGCCCTCTGCTCCTGGCAGGACATCATGGCCCTCTAGTCCATGCCGACTCAGGTTGAATTTCATGGCCCAACAGAATTCCTGGGTAGCCTGGTGTTCTCCCTGGTCCCAAGGCTCCTCAGGGCCTGAACCCAGCTTTTTAGCCAGGGTTCCTTTATCCTGAAGGGCTGTGGTGTATCTGCTAGCAAGTCTCCATCTTCAGAACCTTCCTGCAGAAACCAGCTCTACAGGCTGGACAAGAGGGCTTGCCTACTGGGTGATGCAGCTATCCGGTCACTCATGGGCACCACCTAACACCCACTAGGGGCTGGGCCACGGGACACATGGGAGCCCACACCCAGGGTAGACTGTGGGCGGGCCTGGAGGAGAGGGTGGAGCCGGGGCCAGGAGCCCCAGGGCTAGGTACCTGCTCATCCTCCGCAGAGAGCAAAAGGGGTGACAGGGACAAGGCTAGGCCTGGGTTGACCAGTTTTAGTGGAGGAGTCACAGTGACACCCAAGGAGGAGCAGGTGGCCAGTGTGGGATAGGGTAGGATGGGGAGGCACAGACCACGTCCTGTGTCCCCCTGCAGCACAGCAGCCTTCCTGCCATCCTTGGCCCTCAGCACCAGTCCTAGTGCAACAGGGGAGTTAAAAAGGCCCTGCGTGCTGACTGCATAGGGACCTCCCCCAGAACCCCCAGGGCCTGCTCTTGGCCTCCATGCCTTTGCACATGCTGACAGTCCAGACCCCGTGTCTGCCCAAATCCTTCTGCTCAGCTCAACCCTCTGGGATGATTTCCTGGAAGCTCTCAATCAAGGGGTTGGGCAGTGAGCTGAGGTCAGGGCCTGGCTCTCAGGAGCCACATGACCCCCTCAACCCCACTCGGCGAAGGAAGCCAGACCCAGAAAGCCTGTAGGATGGGGTACCATCTGACCACCCTGGCCCAGCCTCCCATGCACGCGACAGATGAGGCAGAGATTCTGCTGTACAGAGATCAATATATGTAAAGTGCTGTACAACGCTCTGAAAAATAGTATTCTCCAAAAATCCGGTGCCCAGGGTTCCCAGCGGGCTAGCCCTTGCCCGTGAGGTCCAGTGGCTGTAGAAAGGGCGGCAGCGGCAGCTCGTCCAGGGCCTCGGGGAAGCGGCTGGGCGAGATGGCGGTGACCAGCACCTGCATGGCACGCATGAAGAGTGAGGGTGGCGCCAGGCCCGCCAGCCAGTGGAACTTGTCATCACCCAGGAGCCGCTGCCAACGCGGCTGGTCGCCCAGCAGCTCACAGCGGGCCGGGCCAGTGGCGCCCGCGGGCGTGTACAGTGCCAGCAGGTCGAGCAGCAGCAGGCGGCGCTGGCGTGGCTCCCCCGGCACAGGCTCCCCAGCAGCAGAGGTAGCTCCGGTGTCACGGCCCAACTGGCGCAGCAGCAGCTCCAGCGGCGTGAGGCCGCCGCCATCGCGCAGGCAGGGTGAGGCACCGTGGCCGAGCAGCAGGAAGAGGCACTCGGGGCGCGCCAGCTCGCAGGCCACATGCAATGACGTACCGCCGCCTTCCACGCGGCTGCAGCCGCACCGGTCAAGCAGGCGTGTGCGCTCCTCAGATGGGAAGTCGCGCACGGTGCACAGGATGCGGCGCAGGATGCCCACGCGGTTGTAGCGCACAGCCAGGGCCACATGCAGTCCTGCCTCTGCACAGCAACGGAAGCCCGTGCTTGGCAGCGCAAGTGCGCGTCGCGGGAACGTGGCCAGCAGGTAGTGTGCGTAGGCCTTGTGGTCGTGCACGAGCGCGTAGAGCAGCGCCTCCGACGGCGAGTAGGCGGTGGCGCGCCCGCGCTCGTCCCAGTGGAAGGCCTCGCTGGCGCGCATGTTCTCGAGCTGCCACACGGGCTGCAGGTCGCGAACCGCTTGGTAGAAGGCGAACGACGACTTGCGGCACTGCTTCTGCGCCCGCGAGCGCGCCGTGCCCGCGCCCTCGGGCCCGCCGTCCGCGCTGCCCCCGGGCCGCCCGGTGTCCCACGGCATTCTGTCGGAGGGGTGTCTCCAGGACTCACGCCATGGACTCGGCAGCCGACCACCTGCTAGAGGAGGACTCCGTGGTGAGGGGCGAGGCCACGGGCTTGGGCCCCGCCCCGGCCTCTACCGGGAACCTCTCCACAGCCCAACGCTTCCTTCAGGGACTCTGTACCTGCCCTTCCAGTCACTCCTCGCAGCTCGCTTATTTCCTGAACCACTCCCACATCCTTGAACTAGCTGCGCTTGATCGCCCTCCTCGAAATTCCCTGGTTCTGACACCTCTGGTAGAGATGCCCTTCCCTGCCTCTGCCCTCACAACCCCACCCACCGTCAAGGCCACACTGAAACCTCATACCCCCCACCCCCTCCACCCCAGGGGCCTACCGGAAGAGTTCCTGCTCCCACCTGGGCCAGGTACATCCAACCCCAGACAGAGAAAAGGCGAGAGTTTAGGGGGTAGGAAGGCTGCGCCCATATCTCAAGCTGAGCCTAATCCTTTCTGGAGCCCAAGTTCCCTGTCCCCAGCCCTACCTAACCTTGACCCTGTTCTCTGACCGCGGGTGGGGGCCCCAAGAGTCACCCCCTCGGCTGGACAGGGGCAGAGCTCTAGACTCAGACCTGCCTGCTTCCAGCACTGCGATCAAATCCCCTAGTTCTGCAGACGCGGGTATATCACTTTCCTTCTCTGAGCTTCAACTTCCTCATCTGTAAGAAAGGGAGAGGGGGGAATGCAAGCTGTGAGCCCCCCGCAGGGTGAGGTTTGCGGGGAGGGACGGGATGTTTGCTGGAAGTCCACACCCCTAGCTCCTGGGAGGAAACCTGGAGGGCGAAGTCAACCTAGAGCCTGATGTGAACCCCACTTTACAGTCTGCAAACCCCCTCCAGGTCGGCTACCTCTCTTGATCTTACCAACTACTAGATGAAGCAGGTACTGCCATCCCATTTTCCAGCAAGGGACAAGCTTGTCCAAGATCAGTCAGCAAGTCATGGTAGAGCCAGGCCTAAAACCCTAAAATCCTGCCTTCCTGTTTTACCTTATTCCAGACGTGGGGGTCTCCCAACCCACAGGGAGCCCAGCTTGAGCCCTGCCCTTGCCCTCTGAGCCCCTAGCCCCAACTTGAGCCCAGGGTACTAACTGCTTTTAAGTCCTTGGTCACAAAGGGCCTGGGTCAGCGGACAGGCCGCGTCCACACACTGGGTAACTAAGTTACAGAGATGGGCACGGTGGGGGTGGGCTGCAGCCACAGCGCTCATTTGAGGGGGCACCATGATTAGAGCAACCCCCACGCCTGGGCCTCCGCGCCCCAGGTGTACCCTGTGTGGACACCCTGTGGGGCGCCGGGTGGGTTACGTAAAGTTGGGCCGCCCCACGTCACTGGGCAGCGAGTCACGGCAGCGGCTCAGTGAATGGGGGGTTGGGCCGCCGAGGGCCGGGCGGTGCGTCCCGGGCCGCCCCCCCAGCTCCTCTCTGTCCCCTCCGGGCGGCACGGAGGACCTCGGGTTGCAGGGGGCGAGGCCAGGGTGTCTGCGGGACGGTGGCCGGCGCGGCAAGGGCTGCACCTGCCTGTGCCCAGGGGCGTGAAGGGAGCGGCGGCCAGGGGGCAGCACCCCGCGCGGGGACTACAAGCCGGCGGAACAGGACTCACCGTGGGGGACGACGGGGTCGCGGGCCTGGCGTCCCCGCCCCCGCTGCGAGCCTCTCTGCGGGTAGGCGCGGAGGCGAAGGTCCCGGGACCGACGGGCGGGAGGAAGCCGCGCTCTCAGCCGCCGCGGCCCGATCGCTGGGCGGCTGTGCAGACGCCGGCGGCGGGCGGGCGGCGCAGTGCGGCCCGGGCCGGGCAGGACCGCGGGACCGTCCGCCGCCGCCATTGGCCCGCGGTGCCAGGCCCCGCCGCTGCCCATTGGCCGTCGCGCTGCACCAGTGTTACGTCACCGGAGGGCGGGGCGCCCGGCGGGACCCGCGGAAAAGTTGGGAGAAACTTGAGGGCTCTCGGTGGGGAGGGTGGGGCGGGGCTCCCAGAAACCCGAGCCGCAGCGAGGAGAAGCTACCGGGCGGGGAAGGGCGCCTGGTACCCGCCCGCGCGCGGTACAGCGGCTGGGCTGAGAATCTGCGCGCGCACGTAGACGCCCCGGGTCCGCCGACCGTGACTGCCCTCGTCACCCCACGAGTCATATTCCGGGTCCCCTTTGCACTGACCCTCTGTGACCTTGAGGGAGACCGTCTGTACATGGAGGGGTCAAGAGGCCAGAGCTGTGACCCCCTAATGGCAGGGGTCGGAGCATAGGATCCCCAGCTCTAGGCTGACTCTCCCAGGGAATGGATGAATGGATACAGACAGCCATTTCTGAGCGCCTACTGTGTGCCAATCTGTGTGCTAAGCATACCTGATTTCACTTCGTTTTCACAACCCGTAGTGCTGGGAATGGCCCTCAATTCACCTGCCAGGAAAATTGGGGCTCACAGGGAGGTAGCCTCCAAGTAAGGAGCAGCCAGGAGAGAGGCCAGGTGCACCCCTGAATCTGTGGTGGATTGGGCCCCAGCCTCCCTGCAAGGGGTCCAAGGTGTGGGGCACCACTCTTGCTGAGACACCACCAGATACCCCCCACACCCAAAGCGCTGCCCCACCTCAGGGCAGGGTGGCCTCACAAACCCATACCATACCTCTTAGGGTCAGTGACAACCACCAAATTTACAGAAACTAAGTCATAGGCCAGGGGTGAGGACTGTGGGGAGCATTGGGCTGGGAATCCGAGCTCTTCCGCTGCCTCACTCAGGTGTCCTCTAGGCTTCGGCTCCCCCACAGGTTTTCACAGCTTTCCATTCTGGATGGTTCTAAGCAGGATGGAGCTCCAAGTGAATGGAGGTCTTGGGGTTGACATTTGGCCTCCAGGAGCCCCCAGCCCCTGGGAGACATCCTAGAGAGGTGTTGCCCCAGATGAACTACCCCTGTTTCAGGGCTGTAGTCACCCTGCTCCCTTGCCCCCATTCTACTCTTCAAGGGCTGGAGTTGAGACCTCACACTGTCTCCATGGCTACCAGTGGAATGAAGGTGAAAGCACCAGCTGCAGGTGCCTGATGAGCAGCTGGCCACAGGGCAGCCCTCTCCACCCCTTGATGCCGTCCTCCTCCCCTCTTCCACTTACCCTCCTTGCTGGGGTTCTTTCCAATAGTCAAATCTGACCCATTTGTCTATGACTTAGAAGCTTGCTGTGGATATGGTCTTAGTGGAAAGGCCAGGTAGGGAGGGGAAAGGCATTTTGGGCAGGGACACAGCTGGAGCAAAGGTCTGGGAATGACAAAGGAAGGCTACAAAGGTCAGTGGGGTGAGGCCAAGTTATACAGGGCAAGGAGCTTGGAGGCAGAGGAGGTTTGGAAGTCAGTGAATTATTTCAGACATACAAAATAATAATGAATGCAGGAGCTTCTGATCCAGTTTAAGAAATAACACGTGGAGGAATCTGAAGGTCCCTGTCTGTTCTGCCCTCCCCCACACCCACCCCCCAAGCCCTGGGTCTTTCCCACAGTGGCAGCTGACATTGTCACACTCTCCAGGAGAGTGAGGTCAGCCCTCACAGCAGCTTGCCTTTTCTCCCCAAGGTCGCTTTTAGACTCATCCTCTGGGGTACATGCTGCCCTGGGTCACACGTCATCTCTGCTGAAGTGTTCCGCTGGTGACAGCTGTCCCTTGTGTCCGGCAAGTGTGTGGCCTCCCAGCACTGCTGTGAACATCCCTGCCCATGCCTCCTTAGGGACTGTAGTGGGGTCTCTGCCCAGGGGGTGGGGGTGGGGTGCAGGGTACGGCGTGCCCCGCCACAGCAGCTTCATATGCCAGGAGGCTGCCTAAGGGGACAGTGTGACTGCAGCATGGGAGAGCCTGTGTTCCCTCAGGGAGGGACGATGCGGGGGGAGGGGGGAGTGTGAAGAGTTGCTGGGGCAGGGAAAGTGGGTGGGATGGGGAGAGGGCTCAGTTCCAGAGAAACTAAGAAGGCCTTGGGGGCTGCCCTGCCCAGGCCCTGATGCCCACATGCACAGAGGGTGCTCACCAGCACAGCCTTCTACGCATGGGTCTGATCTTTGACCCTGTTGTGCTCCTGCAGGGACCTGACCCTAGACACACTTCCCTCTCTCCTGGGAGAGCTTGTCCCACCAAGGTAGGCATCTGTGTGTGCCCAGGCAGGGAGTATAGTCACTGAGGCCAGAGAGATGGGGGGTACAGGTTAGTGTGAGGACTCTGGGGAGGCGGGGCGAGCACCATAGGCTGGCTTAGGTTTTCTCTGGCACGGCATGGAAGTCACTGGAGAGAAGCACTTGAATTGTGTGTGGACTGTGACCAACTGGGGTGGGTGTGAGAGGGAAAGAACAGTCTAGAATGCCTTCCAGGTCAGGCTGAGCCCCTGGAAGGATGGGGGGTAATGAGGGCGGGGCGTTCGTGAATATGCCTATGAGCCACGTTGGGGGAGAAGCCCTGGCTAGTGGTGGACAGCTGGGGTCACGGCAGAAAGAGGGAGACAGAGAAGTGAAGGCACCGAGGCAGGAGCTGGGCCCTCTAGCGCCTAAGGAGGGGTAGGGAAGAGCAGACAGCGAGGAGGCGGGAGAGATGCTGGGAAGTCAAAAAGGGACAGGGTTCCCAGAAACCAAGGTATCCCAAGGAGAAGGGAGTGGCCAGCTGGGACAAGTGCCACCAGCAGGTCAAGAGGATCTGGCTACTTGTAGGTGGCTGTGCCCTTTACAAAGGATCATAGAATGCTGGAGAAGCCTCTTTGGAAAGGGTTCAGGAGAGAATGGGGAGAGGGGACTGGAGAAAGCTGTGTTGGGGAGCAGAGGAAAGGGGGGAGCTGGAGGGTAAGTGGGGTTACAAAATGCAAAAGTGGAAATAACACACGTGTGTACAAGTGCATGTTGTGTGTGCACATGCGAATGCATGTGCATGCAGGCAGGTGTGCATCTGCACTGCGTGCGTGTACAGCGTGCTGCATCTTGCACGTGTGTGTGCATGTGTAAACACAGGATGGTAAATACAGGAAGGGATTCAACTCTGTATCAAATCAATAAACGTACAACCTCCTGTTACGCCCATCGGCCAAAACCTGAGGAGACAGATGGCGCCTGCACGGGCGAGGGTGGGAACCAGGCCCTGTCTCTCCCGCTGGAGGCACAGCCAGCAGAGACAAAGGTCGTGCTCTTGGGTCCAGCAATTTCTTTTGTAGGCATCTTATTCCCGATAAGTACTTGCCCACGTGCCAAGTTCCATGTACGTTCCTTACTGCTGTGGCTTTTGTTCGCTTGCCTAATTCTTTAAAGTTTTATAAAAGATTATTCAGCCTTCATTTTATGTTTTGTATCTAACTACTTCATAGTTAAACCTTTGAAGAGAATACAGGTGACTACCAAGCACCAAGGAGGTAGGGTCATGCTGTGTTTTTACTGATGGAAACCACCTCGGTGACCATCCAAAGGGGGACGCTGAAAACAATCATGATGCACCCTTGCCAGCTGTGATTCTTGTCACACAGCAGCTGGGCCCTGCTCTCCTGTTGGGCTTGTGGAGAGGACTGTGTGTAAGCCTGGAGCCTAGGGACCACGTCCCTCACAAGCCCGAGACTGCACTCCGGCCGCCCCCTCCCCTGCCCCCAGTGCAATTGTCTCCATGGCACCTCTGGGCCCTTGTAGGGCCCCTGGATCGAGCTGTGCCTGAGGGCTCTGCTGTCTCATTGAATGAGCCGGTGGATTCTCTTTTTGGCTTAGGCCACTTGGGAACGGGTCCGTCACTTGAAAAAGCCCTGCCTCATTCAGCCCAGCAGGATTGTAATGGCATCCTCTTCATGCTCAACAGGTCCTGGTTTAGGAAGTAAACCGCATGGTATGACTGACACACATACCAGGTTTTACGCAGCCACAGGCAAGAACCAACAGCCAGAGCCTCCTCGCCTGTCATGTGGAGGTAAGAATGACAGCTGCCCCAGAGAGCTGTCCCAGGAGTTCTCGTGGGGCACAGCATGGTTGTGCCTGCCACAGAGCTAGCCTCAATGCCTGAGATGCTAAGGTTAATTTTTAAATATTTCAATGTGAAAATGTTAAAAGAAAAAGCATACATATTGTTTAAGAAATACTGGAAGCCACGCACTAACCTGTTGATGGCAGTGCCCCCTGGGGAGAGAGCAAGGAGGAAGAAGGGACCCTTTTAGTTTTTATCCTCTGTGCCTTCTATGTCATTTGAAACTTTCACAAGGGACACATATTCAAATATTGTGTAATTAAGGTAGTTTTTAAAGAGTCAGGTCCCGGGCCGACCGAGTGGCGCGATGGTTAAGAACTCGCTTGGGATGCCAGAGGGCCCCGGTTCGGATCCCACATATGAGGGCCAGTGACACTGCCCTCCACAGCTAAGATGCTGAACAACAGCTCAGCCTGGAGCTGGGTTGCCGTGAGTCGCCGGCGACGGCGTAGGCTCAAGCCCCTGTGGCAGTGGGTTGCCATGGGCTACCATGTGTAGCCAGCAGCCAGCGTGTGTAGCCAGCAGCCAGCGTGAGCGGCCAGCAGCCGCAGTGAGCGGCCGTCCAGAAGCTGGCGACTGATCTGCCTCGCCCAGAAAGAGCGCA